GCAACACACAGAAGGAAGAAGATTGCTTCCCAGCCTAAATCAAAGGAAACCTTCATGACAGATAAGATCAGATCCTCTTTAGAAAACAAAGAAAGATGCATTTGAGCATGGGGGCAGGGAGGAGGAATGCATCCAAGCAACTGTTGGGCTTTCAGTTTGGAGATGATTTCCACCCTTTCCTCTATCTCTTGCCTCCTCACCTCCCCCCTTTTTCTCTTTATTTCTCACCCTCTTTTCTTCCAGCCTCCTGCCCCCATTCAGCAACAGGCTCCTTCAACCCTTCTCATTCCCTGTCTCCAGTTCTTTATAAGTCAGCAAAAGGTGCAGAAGCACAACAGCATTTCTTTTGCACTGCTTAGATCTTTCTGTCACTCTGCTTTATGCTATATATGTATCATATACGTACAGACATGTCTAAATGTTAGACGAGCTCCTGTGCTTGTATTATATATCATAAAGCAGATCCTATCTATCTATACATACAGGTTTTTGAACTTCTATCCATCCATCCAGCCATCATTTTCTTTCCTTCCTTGCTTCGTTCATTTCTTTCTCTCTTTCGTTTGTTTGTTTCTTTCTTCACACACAGAGGTTTTGGAACATCTATCTATCTATCTATCTATCTATCTATCTATCTATCTATCTATGACTCTTAGGTGGCAGCAGCAGCAGTGTTGGCTCGCGTAAGTCCTGTCCCGGGCACTTGTTGCATAGAGAGCTGCTTTTCTGGTTATTTTAAAAGGCGGTTTCTCCATCTCCCCCCTCCTCTGCCACCTACATAGCAAAGGGAAAGGAAAAAGTTCAACTTCCCAAACGCCCACACAACCTGTTGCAGCTGCTATTAGTAGATCAAGCGTCCCACTCGCTTTTTTTTTAATTCACCCCCTCTCTCTTGCTCCGGGAAGGGAAGAGGCAGGAGCAGGAGGACAGGGACTGGGGCAAGCAGGGGCGGCGGGAAGAAGCGCAAGCCCGGAGGCAGCAAGGAGTAGCGGCGAGGGGAGGAGAGCAGGCAGAGAGAGAGGTCACTTTACCTGTGGTGCCTATACCTTGTTTGGTGGTCTCCAGAGGGAAGATGCCTGAGCACTTCTCCCACTCCACTTGCCCCCCCAGGCACAGCTCGGAGATGATCTGCAGCGCCTTGTGGCACAGGCTCCCCACACCGTCCTCCTTGTGGAAGCTCATCTTCTTCTCCTGCCTTCCCCCTCTCCTCTAAGCCATCGCTTGCCCGGGAAGGATGTTGATGCTGTGCAGGCTGCTAAAATACTACCCAGCTACCAAATCCCCATGCCTGCAAAGGAGAGAGAGAGGTGGGGAGGCCGCTGGAGGGGGACGAGCAGAGGGAGATCAGTGCAATTGACACGTTGCAAGTGAATCAAAGAGTCTCGGCAGCAGAAGGATGGGAAGGGGGGTGGGGCGGGGGGGAAGGAAAAGGAGGGAAAAAATCAGCATCCACTTAGCAACGCCGTTGGTGCCTGGCGGGCTCCGGCCGGCGGCTCGCCCAATGGCAGCGCAGCGCGGGTGCTCGGGAGGCACACAGGTGGCGGCAGCGCGGGGTCCTGGTCGCCGCCCCGCCTGACAGGCGTCGCTTGTTATGAATGGGTGCAGGCTTCTTCATGTGCTTTTATGGGAGGCTGGAGGCGGCCGAGCAGAGAGACAGCGGTGCCACTGAGTCCTCTGAGCCTCCTCGGTGCCCCACGCTGCCGCTGTCCCACCCCGTGTCCAGTTCAGCCTTTCTCCCACTCCAAGCTGCTGCGGGGGGGAGGGGCTGGGGGCTCTACTTCTTCCCAAGGGAAAGAAAATCCCTTTCTGGATTTGGGAGGAGAGCATTGTTGAAAACCCCGGGGATCCTGTTTGGTCTCAGGCATCTGCAGAAAAGACTGCTTGGGAGAGGAGCAGGCTGCTCTCCCGGCCATAAGTTAGCTGTATTGCTCCAAGAAAGGAGCACCTGTTCAAATGGATATTATATTGGTATATTATATTATATTCAAGTATAATTTGGGTATTTTATAGGGTATATAGAGAGAGTACATTATAGGGTATCTTATATTATATTGAAACATAATGAATGTATATTATATTATATTCAAATATGATGAACGTATATTAGATTGTATTCAAATGTATTATATTCAAATATGATGAATGTATATTAGATTGCATTCACATTTATTACATTATGTTCAAATAAAATGAATGTATATTATATTCAGATGTATTATATATAACATTCAGATATAATGGACGTTTATTATTTTGCGTTCAAATATATTATATTCAAATATAATGAGCATATATTGTATTCAAATGCATTATATTCAAATATAATGAATGTATATTATATTGCATTCACATTTATTACATTATGTTCAAATATAATGAATGTATATTATATTATATTCAAATTTATTATATATAGCATTCAGATATAATGGATGTATATTATTGTGCATTCAAATATATTATATTCAAATATAATGAGCATATATTATATTATATTTGAATGCATTATATTATATTAAAACAGTGAATGTATACTATATGCAAGTATACTGTATTACATTCAAATATAATAAATGTATATTATGTTATAGTCAAATATATTCTATTAAATTATATATAGTGTATTGAATTATAATATGTTAAATTAAAGGTATGTTGTCTTATATTCAAATGTACATTATATTGGTGTAGCAGGCATGGCATTTTACAGGCATAGCATTTTATAAATGGATTCAGGCTTGTTAATTTTTTAATGTTTTTTATGACACTGTGGGACTTGCAGAGAACACACAAGGAAGTAAGTGTAACTTGATGGACTCTTGAGGATGTTCTGCAAAACTGAGCAGTCAGTGGGTGCTTTCCAACGGTTTTTGTATCAGAGCCTTTCTGAGAAATCTGCTTCTTTCCATTAATACAGGTTCTACTTCACCATATGAAGGCAAGCTTTAATATTCACACAACCTGGAAAGAACAGAAAGGAACTTTTCTGGTTGTGTTTGATATGAAACTTCTTGGTTTTCGGTTCACACTTGGTTAAACATGCTGAATTTATGCTTAGTAATTTCCTGGAACTTTCATTTCTTTAAAAGACCTGCAAAGTATAACCTTGCATATCAGATTTTATACAGCAATGCCAATTGAGCAAATCATGGCATCAGATATGGCTTTATATGACATAATTTCAAACTAGTGATTTGAACTAATCCTTTAATTTGTAAAGATATGAATAACCTTAAAACTGTAGTTACTAAACAATTTAATCTCACAGCAGTTACATGTTCTTAAAAGTTTGTATATTTGTGGTTACTTTACAAAGTCAAGCCCACAGCTTCATTCTCGGTTATGGTCTAGATATTTTAAACAAATACTCATTGTTTACACAAAATTAGGCTTAAGACTGATAATGTAATTCTTGAAATCATGGCACGGTTTTGTATCATTATAGAAATATGCACTCTTTGAAGGTTTTCAATGCTAAGCATTATCCAGCAGGCGTAGTTTGAAAATAATTCTGCTAGCAATTAGTTTAACTAAACTGCCACTAGTCTGCTCTAGTCTGCTACTAGGATGTTTCTGTTTCATAAGCAAGAAAAGTTTACTTGCTCATCGTGAATTTTTCTGATCTGAAATTTTTCATCTGCAACCCTAAAGTTAATTTGTAATTGTTTTCTAACAAATGCGAGAAGCAGAGTGTATCCAGGTACATAAATTGATACAATATTAAAGATATATTTTTAATATCTTAAATTCTGATTTTGTAGTTCAGATATTGAGGGTACGAATAAGGTATGTAAAACAATTATGTGGTCATGAAAGCTTATACATTTATGAATTCATACATATTTATTTGTAATAAATTTAAATCCTTTACTTAACAAACAAACTATAGGAACCACAGAAAATGTTATGTTGCCTATATGCCTTTACTTTTCTATGTATGGTCATTTTTAAAAAGTAACAGATGCTTTTATACAATGTTATCCTGTCCAATACATTTCTGCAGAATGATGTGTCAGAATTCTGTTTAAATACTTTTCCAAAACACAGGTAAAATGTTAAGATTCCTAGAAAAAAAGTCAGGTGAAAGAGCTGTGCAGTCTTAAATGAAATTCCATTAATCTTTCATATAAACATGTATAAGTATGATTAATTTATGAAAATAATCTTGTTAGAGATGAAAACCTTCTGTACGTATTTCATTCCAAGTGAAGAAAACTAATACCCCTCATACTTCAAAATAGGAATAATTATCAGCTTGTTGATGGTTCATGTAACATTTATGGGCCCGTATTCAAAATTCAGTCCCATGTCACTGGTTAATAATTAAGGACTCAGTTTCCCTCTGAGCCACATGCATAACCCTTACTAAAAATATATGCACTGAGGGAAGACCAGAGCAACATAGGCCTATATTGTATTTTGCATATTAGATATATGAGTCTTTGTGTCTGATCTCCCAGAAAAAGGCATCTCACCTCCAGAGTCATCCTAATTACCCAGGGTGGACGGTGGACCACCCCTAGAGCACATATGCACTGAGCAGAGAGTTGTTTAAAGGCAGCTAATAGGAATCCTACATACAGGGGTGTTTGTGAACTCCAGCCTGCCATCATCTCAGGATCTGAATTGCCTGGAGGTGGACAAAGCCATGCAGTTTTTGCTCAACAGCCTACTGGTTAGGCCACTTTCCCAGGAAGTAGGAGACATGGATTCTGTTTTCTGCTCAGCTTGAGAGGGTTTGGACCTATATTTACCACTTCCTGGAAAAGTGAGTGTACCCTCTACCCTTCCTGTTAAAGCTTGGCCACTGTATGGAAGGGTCATGGCTCTACAACATGAGCATGTAAGGTGGGGAATTGCTCTGTAGCTCTATAAGAAGGCCACTCCTTGGTAAGGAGAGAGCCCTGCGTTCTGTTCCTAATGTTATTTGCATTAAATAATCATGGGATAAAGTACATGTACAGCATTAGAAGCAGAATCCAGGGCTCCATTTTTTTAGGGGGACTGCCCACCTCGTTAGACAACATAGATTCCCTCTTTCATGCATTCCTCCTGTCCTCAGTCACTTCTGCACTCCGTTAGGAGCAGTAGCCCAGTTTCAGTAGGAGGGAGGGATGATGCCCCCACTCAGATTAGTTTATAGGGTTAGGGCACTATCTTGGGAAGTGGCAGAGATAAGTTGGAGTACTCTTCGGTTGAGGAGATCCTAGGGCCACAGTCTCCGTCTGCTTGAGCAAGTGTTGTAATCTTGAGACTGTTATATTCAAGGCCAGCAGACACCACCACTGCCTCCTTTTTCTTCAGCAGTGTTTGAAAACCTGGGAGCCCTGCACATTCTTTTCAAAGGACACCTACTTTGAGAAAAGGACCCTCAGCCCTAGATGCTAAGTGAATGGAGCTGCCTTCCTTGTCCAGCCCTGACTCAGCTTAAGCTCTAAGTGGAATAGAATTTTAGACTGACCCCTGTGCTTGTATTTTCCTGTTGTTTGGCTCCATACAATTCCTCATGCACTGTGAAAGGTTTTTTGGATCACCCTTCTGAGACATTTTTTAACTCTCCACAGGCACTGTATTGGGAGTTCAGGTGCCTAATCCTAGGCATTGTATTCCACTTTAGGGTCTAGACATTTAATTTGGGGAGAACCAGACTCTTCCTTGGGTCTGGCCCTCACTCTTAAACTTTGTCGGAGATGCAGGATCTCCAAATTCAATTCTGCGCTCTGCCACAGACTTTGTGTGGCCTTGGGCATGTCACACAATCTTTTCCTAACTCAAGCCACCAGCAGCTATTCCATTGAATTCAGTGGTACCAGATTTTCATTACGTGTGCCAGGTTCTCGGCCATATGATGAGGCAAAAATATTTCCTTTCTCTTGCTCTTTGTATGTCTGCTTATTTAGAATATAAGCTCTTTGTGGTAGGGTCACTTACTATATATATATGTTGCATCTAGGATGATGGAGCCCTAGACATTACTATAATAATGTTGTTCATCACTATGTGTATAGAGTGCACACATCAATTTAAAAAGGTGTTTTAAAAGACTATAAAGGTTGAGATTTTCAAAGGGCCTTTGGGAGTTATGTGCCTGAGTGCTTGGACACCAAATTCTCTAAGCCAGTTGTTGGCAACCTAATGCCTATAGGCAAGATTCAGTTTAGAGCCAGGGGATTTTGGTGGCAGTGGGCTTAACCCCTGCTTTGGCTGGGTGCTTTCCTGGTGCCCTGGACAGGTGTTCAGCAAAAGAAGCAGAAGAGGTAGTGCCAGTAGCTGGGTCCTAGTGCTAGCACATCTTGGACTGAAGCTGTATTGTTTCAACCTGTTGGCTGAAAATGTTGCTAACCGCTGCTCTGTTTCTAAAACCCAGTTTAAAAAACTT